GGAACTTTAGAATTCAAACAGACAAGCACCTGCCACACCAGACTTAACAACTGTTGATAAGAAAGACAAAGAAGTCTGGATAGTGGACATTGCAATACCTGGAGACAGCAGAAGAGAAGAGAAAGAACTGGAGAAAATCAGAAAGTATAAAACCCTGCAAATAGAAGTAGAGTGACTGGAAAAAGAAAGCAAAGATAGTACCAGTAGTAATAGGTGCCTTGGGTACAATTCCAAAACATCTGGAGTACCACTTGAAGACCATTGGCATTGACCAAAATCACCATCAGTCAATTGCAAAAGGCAGTTTCACTTGGAACAGGTTACATTTGCGATGATACCTTTAACACCATCAAACAACATTTGCCTATCCCAAGTCCTTGGGAAGGACTTAATAGGAGGATAAAAATACCAAATCCAGTCTAAACATCTCACTGACTGTGTGACCAACAATACTATATTACAGTGTTCAATACCACACTAAGCATTAGTTTTACAAATTTTAGGAGATTAGCTATGTCCATTTTTTTATAACACAGAGGCCAGCAGGATATTAAAGACTCAAATTTATTGTAGAATAAGACTTTTGTGAGGAAGATGATAATTCATCACATTGGACAGTATCCATAACCTGGCATCCTTGCAATCTGCTGGACTATCTCCCATTATCCTTAGCCAACATACTCAGAGGCTGATATAGGAACCAGCTTATGAAAGCTGAGGTCATAGTTAGTCTTTAATATATCACAAGTCCAGAAGCCGGCTTTAGGCTAAGGCTGAGTAGTCACTGGCCTGGGGCGACAAAGCTCAGGTACCAATGCTGCCCCCCCTTCCAAATCATTCTAAAAATGCAGATCTTTGCATTGGTGGGAGGTGGCACCGTCAATGAATGTGACCTAGGGGTACCATAAACCCTTGACCCAGCACTGCACTGGTCTGTTTTTTAATTTCACAGAAAATAACTTTTCAACAGAATCTGGCACAATATATGCTGATTATATTACTTAGCACACCAATTGCCTATCTTTCTTAAGATCTTGAATGTCTCTGATCATCAGGATTGGGCTGCATCCAGTTTCCAATATAAGTACACTGAACACTGTCCATCAAAGGCATGGCATTTGAAGTTATTGGCTTCCTCATTTAGAAATTGGAGGGGGGAGGAATTATATAAGAAATCCTATCCCAACCATGGAGGGACGTGTGCAATTCAAATACACTAATTTGAACTAATTATTAACCAAAAATTAGTCACAATTTTGTTCTTAAGGAGAAAAAAATAGAGCAGAAGAACATAACCTGAAGTCACAGAGCTCCATGTTCTTCCCCTTAAATCTTTGGTGTGATCTCAGAAGCCTCCAAAAGGGATTACTAAATTGTAATTTTTATTGTGACAGGGAGGAAATTTTCAAATAATTGCCTATGTCATATTAAATTTAGTGTCATTTCCAAAATGGCTTGTCTTTAGAGTGTGCTCTTGGCACCTATACCAAAGTTTTAATGCAGCCTTCAGCCTGGAAATTGTTGCATATCCCTGCATTAGAGTTTAACAGAATATATTTTCGGTTCTGAAACAACAAAGCTTATTGTGATGCTTCCTAGTTGTAAGAACCCTGTTCCTTTAGGTTTTCTTCTGTCGTGGAAGAGGATGTACCCTATTAAATGGTACAGTGATTCTCATCCACAGAGCTAATACAACCTGACTGTGATATGCTTCTTTTCTCAGAATTGGAAAATGGTATGTGGTCCCTCCAGCATAAGCTATGTTCCATCATGGTGAAGCAAGAGCAGAACATGGTGCCAGAAGTACCTGAGACTCAGCTGCCACCTCATGCAGTTCCCATGATGAATCTTAATCCACTGCAAAGGTTGTCAGTCCCCAAAGAGGTGAGTTCATTGCACCAAGAATACCTGGAATAATCAGAGCATCAGAACCTCAGAACTTAGCATTTCTGGTGATTTCTTCAGTCTTTCATTCTAAGTGGAGGGGCTAATACAAGGTGGAAGATAAAATATAAAAACAATGCCTAATTGTTTCTTATTTTAATCACTGTTGATTTGAAATAACCACATTTTAAAAAGTGACATAGCAGAGGGAAAAGTGGATGATCGAAGCATAATTGGACAGAGCGCTTTGGATGCTGATTCAGAAATGGCAAACTTTGTGGAAACCGCACTGATCTTTATTAGGGCTGCTAGTCCAAACAGTGGACAGGAGTGTTATGATTAGCATAAGTGCAAAAATACAGCCAAAATAGAAACTATAAAGTGAAACTCCTGCAAAAGTTCCTAGAGGTTAACAAACCCATTTGTTTCTAGTTTAGAACTGTTTTGTCTACAAATAATGGAAATCACCTAGATGAAGCCAACATCTGATAGAGAACTCAGATTTTTTTCTATTCTAAAATAGTATAAATTTAATAATTACAAGGTGGCCAATTTCCCAGAACAGAAACAACTTCTAATGTACTAGTCCAGCCTTCTACAATTATATATTTGACCAATTCCCAACACCACCAGGCAGCATGGGAATATTGGGAGTTATTGTTCAATATATCTGGATGACTGCACTAACCTTTTCATCCTTCATTAGTGATTTTGCAAAAGAAGAAGTAGTATTTTTCTATTGAACTACTTCTCTTTATTTTTGTTGTTTCATAAAAATGCAAATCTTTCTGCTGGTGACATTTCAAAGATGCTTTTCAAAAATCATAAGACTAGGATAGTATTCAAGAAGCTGAAATGGAGATGCCAAAGTTTTAAAAAACCAAGTTTTGGTTTAGACATGTTGGGTTGGTCTTCTTATAAGATACCTTCCTCTCAGAAGCCATTGCAACTGTTGGACTGTTAAGGTACACCAGCTTATGTATATACTGCAAAGTATAGCAGCTTTGTCAATGTGAAGTCCTTTGTAACTCCCAGAATAGCTATCAAGTGTTAGAAACTTTAGTCCAGCACATCTGGAAAATACCAATTTGGGGAAGGGGGCAGTATATGTTGCAAGTTGAGGAATCAATAATCCCTGGGCCAGATTTGGCTCATGATGTCTTTTCAACCTCTCTTTCCCAGTTTCTTTTCTCCTTTTTATTGCTTTTCCCTCTTCCACCAGTTTCACAATGCTGGTTAGAGGCATACTGAGTACCTCCAATAGGCATGGTTACAGCATCCCCCCTCCTACTGACCATTCCTATTGGGAAGACCAATGAAACAGTAAAGGATTGTGGGATGTCAACTAGAGGCATCTGAGAACTTCTGACCCAGAGTGCCAAGTACCCTCCCTTGTTGCTTGCTCCCAAATCATACAACATCCCTCTCCTCAAAGTAACTTCAATTTATAGTTGCATAAATTAGAGTGTGATTTTTCAAGGAATGTCCTGAAGGATATGGTAGTAATTTCCTCCCACTGTATTTCACTGCCATGGGGTTATTTTCAAAGGGTATGTCTGATCAGATGTGAAAATAAACTGTGTGTAGAACTCAATAAAATCACTTGTTCTGCACTGTGAAAATTGAGATTTAGAGTCAGTCTCTCATATATTTTTACAGCCTTCTTTCTTTCTCCTGTGAAGTAAGAACTCCCTTCATTTAAACTCATTTGTGGGTTATCTTCCATTCACTTACTGTTGATAAATGTAAGAGGAAAAAACAAGGCCACCATTCAAACCAAACTTGTACACAAATCTTCCTCTGTTGCTTTAACTTTGAACTCCCTGGATTTCCAAATGCAGATTTTGTGGTGTATGTTTGACAACCATATTAACTTCCTTTGCCAGGCTGTGTTTACAGTCTGAGACAGTGTGAAATATATCTGTTTAATGAAAAAAAATCTCTGGCATTTGGTGGGAAAAGAAGGCTGGTAAGAGAAGATCACATTGGTGCATCTGGGAATTAATGGTTCTTCGTGTTAACTCTTCATCTCCTTCAATCAGAAACAGCTGTTAAATGGCCCTGCAGAAAGTCCAGTGAACAGTAGAGGGTATTCTGTATCACCAAAGTTTGTGCAAATGCATCCTATACACATTGCAACAGATCAAAGTTCTGAATCTGGATAAGTGGACCTTTTTAGGGACAGGAAGGAGGTAATGGCAAAAATGAATGTCAATCATGGAAATGCTGTCTGTGCAATGCACTCCTTTAACATATGTGCATGATGCTCACTCTTCTTTGCCCAAATGCTCTTGTTTTTTGTTTTTGTTTTTATTGTATTTCTCTGGAAACAAGCAAGCAATTTTCGACATTTTCCCTTGCCCAGATGGGATCAGCCTTTAGTATGCAAGCTGGTAAAAAAGGATGACTAGGGGAAAAAATCTACAAAAATAGTGGCTGCAATCACTAGGCATGTTGGTATTCACTACAGTTTTTATCTCTGTTGGTTTAGCCATAACTAAGCTGCACCTTTTGCACCATAGCATGTATGCATGTATCTGGGGACTGCCATGGTTCAATAGAAAAGCAGAGGCTCTGCACAGACAATGTACAAAGGCTACCCAATTTATAAGGCTACCAATGTCTGGAGAAATGGCAAATACTTAAGGCAGTGTTGTCCAAACTTGGCCACTTTAAGATGAGTGGACTTCAACTCCCAGAATTCCCCAGCCAGCCATGCTGGCTGGGGAATTCTGGGAGTTGAAGTTCACTCTTCTTAAAGTGGCCAAGTTTGGGCAACACTGCCTTAAGGAGAAGAAACAGAAGGCAGACAAGATCCCATTATGGAAGTGCAAATGGATACTTTACTGGTTTCCTTCAGTGACGTCTTGTCCATACTGAGAGGTTATAATATGCTCTGGAAGTACATTTCAGGCAATGGCAGAGGATTCAATGACTCTTGATACACTAGAATATTTTGGCATGTTATATTGCCAACTTAGGTTGCCTGCAGCTTTCTCTTCTGACCAGAGGCCCACTTGGTGCAAGGAGCAAATTATCAGCACCTGATCTGCAGGGCTTCTAGTCTGAATTCCAAAGCACCCAAAATCAAACTCCTTTAGGATTCTTTTCTATCTGTCATGCATTGTGGATAAGTTAATGACACTCACAGGAAAAAAAATAATAATTAAGTCCACTATTACATACCATAGTATGCAGGTGAATAGTAAAAATAGAGGGTAGGTGATCTCTAGAAGGGTGAAGGTCCCACCATCCTTATATGGAGCCCTATTGTCTCAGGATAAACGTGAGAGATATATGTAGCCTGACTCCAGAAGCAAATGTCAAGGTACAGCACAGTGCTTTGAGTCCTTGCAAATGATGTGGTCTCGTAGGGATATCCATGATTCCTCAAGGCATGAAACGCAAAACATCATTAACTAAAGTACTTTTCTCTATTGTTTTACAGGGTCCCATAGAAATGGCTACCCAGCCTGTAATCAAAGCTGAACCCAGAGAAGTGAACCAATTTTTAAATGTGCCAACAGGTGAGAAAATTGGCTCAATGAGCTTTCAGTGCTCTCCAACTTCATATCTGTTATGATTTTTACAGATGATCCTCCCTTTATGCCATTAGGGTAAACTTCCAGACAAAATAATAATAATAACAACAACAGAGGGGCTAATTCTGGCTGCACAAGACCAAGCCTTAAGAACAAATGCATGCAAAGCCAGAATCAAGAAGACAGCAATAGACAGCAAATGCCACCTCTGCAGAGAAGATGAAGAAACAGTGGAACACCCAATCAGCTGCTACAAGAAGATCACACTGACTACAGACAGTGGCATGACAAAGTAGCAACAATGGTGCATTGGAATATCTGCAAGAAATACCATTTGCCTGCAACCAAGAACGGGTGGGCCCACAAAACAGACAAAGTAAAAGAAAATAAAGACGCTAAAGTGCTCTGGGACTTTAGAATTCAAACAGACAAGCACCTGCCACATAACACCCCAGACTTAACAACTGTTGATAAGAAAGACAAAAAAGTCTGGCTAGTAGACATTGCAACTGGCTGACTGTGTGACTACTACTACTACTACTACTACTACTACTACTACTAATAATAATAATAATGTATTAAACTTGTATGCCACCTGACTTTCAACAACTCTGGGTGGCTCACAACAATCAAACAAAGAAATTACAATAAATTCAATAAAAGATAAAGATAAAAAATGGCAACTGTGACAGACCAGATGGAATGAAGTGGGGTGTCTCACTCTCCCTCACCAAAGGCCTGGGTGAAGAGCCAGGTCTTTATGGCTCTTCTGAACAACAACAGAGTAGGGCCATCCAGATCTCAGGATAAAGCTCATTCCTGAGGGCAAGCAGTGCTACAGAAAAGGAGCACTTCTGGGGTCTCAGTAGATGACACTGTTTAATCGAAGGAACCCAGAGTGCGCCAACCCTACAAAATTGAATTGGCTGGGCAGATACTCTGGGAGACAGAGTCCCTCAAGTAACCAGGCCCTAAGTCATGTAGGGCTTTATAGGTAGCAACCAGCCCCTACATCTATCTTTTTGAAATGGGTTATTATGTGTGTGATGGGCATGGTGAGGATGGTGACATATTAGCAGCGCGAATACTGGATTCACTTCTAATCTTCTTTTATCTAATATTTGCATGCATTTCTGAAGATAAAATGCAGATCAATCCAACAGCATCTATCAGGATTTATATAGTATCTATTAGACATTAGTGTTATTAAATCCAAATTTCAAAATTGAGCAGGGGCAAGTATCTGCCCTATCATTATAAATGGTTAATTAAGAGAATGCAAAAAACAGTTTTTTAAGAGTTGACTTTCACAGCAATCTGATTGGGGCAATTCCCATTTTCTGGATATAATTTTACTGTGCAGACTATGTGTTTTAATCATATTCTTTCCCTTCAGCAATGTTATGTCTGGCCTAAGCCATGTACCTGTGAAATGCAAACCTTGAGGACCTGCAGTGTTGAAAAGCTGGCTCAAAAGCCTAAATTGTTTTCTGGAGTGAGAATCAGTAGATTGTTGTTATTTTTTGTTTTCAAATAAATCAACATTTAAATATGTTATTTATCAGATAGATAGATAGATAGATAGATAGATAGATAGATAGATAGATAGATAGATAGATAGATAGATAGATA